TAAAAAAAAAAAAAATTATTGAATAGAATGTTAGATTCAATATTCACAACAAGATTTCAAATAATAAAATTAAAAATCCCAACAGAAAATAATTTCGCAGAATATCGTTATTCAACATCACACAATTTCATTTCATGATGAGAAGTGGTTTATAACTTTTCCATTGAATGGAAATGTTTTCCATTGGGAAATACATACCTACCATTGTATCATCACATCATTACCGACCACTACCAATAGTTGCCTCTAACCATCTGAAATTTCTAATATACAACCGTAATCTGTCCAATAAAAATCAACACTTGTACTAATATGTTTTTTTTTTTGAGGAGAGAGAAAAAAATACTATGCCTATGTATTTTTAAAAATATTTAATTTATAATTTCATTTTGATTCATATTCATTACTCAATGTGATGATAATATCAAAGATGTTCTCCTTGTTGAGGCAACCACAGTGATGGGGTGTCAAATTTGTTGTGCTGATGGGACGAGAATATCTTTGATACTACTGTCGCACTGAGTGATGGGTACAACTCTCATTCAAAATAAAATTAGAGAGTATGTATTTTCAGAAATACATAAACAAATTTTTTTTTCTCTTCTAAAAAATCATGTTAGTATTTGAAATATATGCAAATGAATACTGAGCCACATTATTGACCCAAAACAATTCTATATCTTAACAAATTGGGCCATCTAAATCTAACCACTCTGTAACAAGATCAGTCATTGATAGTATTGGAACAAAACTCTAACCAGTATCATTTGCCAAAATTCGGCCGCTCGTTGAAAAATGTTTTGGTTAAAAAATATGATAACCATTATCGTTGAATTGTTTTACATAACTTGAATCTAAACAACTTGTTAAAGATATATAAAATAATTATTGTAATATCACCCAACACCTTAAGCATTTGGGTAAAATTGGTGTTTTACATTGTATCAGAGCTTCGGTGTGACGGGTTCAATTCTCACCATCCACCTTCTCTTGTGGAATTTCTTTGCACAGGTAGGTGGACCAATGCATTATCTACCCTTTAAACCCAGTGGACTTTCTTGTCATGGGGCATGTTAAAGATATATAAAGTAATAAATGTAGCCTCATCCAACAGCTTAAGCATCTTTGGGTTGAAATGATTCTTTATATGGTATCAGAGCCTCCATTTGTCACGGTTCGATCATCATCGCCCCCCATTTAATAATGATTAATTATGTCTTGTGAAGTTTCTTAGCACATGTAAGTTAAGCCTAATGCATTGGCCACTCTTTGAATCCAATGGGATCTCGTGTGAGAGTGCGTGTTAGAAATATATAAAATTATTAATATAACTTATTCTAATAGTTTAAATTTTTGAGTTGAATTGACGATTTACACAATTTTCCTTATTTTCTTAAGCTTGAGATATTCAGTATGCATTGAATGATAAATAAAAGACGGAAGTATGTTGCAAATTGTAATTTAGGCATAACAATAAAAAATGATCAAAGGTTGATTTCCAAGATGGAAATTGATTTTGGCATATAGGACGGTGACTAGATCACAAGAAGAGTTAACGGTGTATACCTTCAGAAAATTTTCGCTTAAGACCGATATTGCCTGTGCCAGGTGATCCCACATGGGAGGAATTCTCAGCATAAATTACCTCAATTGTGGGTTCCGGAGTTGAATCAAACCTTTCCACGTGCATGACATCAGTGCCAGCACTCACATTGGTGGTATCATCGCTTTTGGGCTTAGTAGTTACTGAGGGAGACTTCTTGCCGGTGGAATTCTCTGTAATGTTCTCCATGAATTAAAAAAGGACCTTAAACTCAAAAGTTTGAGGAACCTAATGAATAGTAGCTACAATCCTTCCTTCGGATGATGGTACCTAATCTTGTTGGCTAAAGAAATGCTTTGGAAGTTGTGTGTCAGATTTATTAAAAGTTGAGTCTTTGAATCTAAAGCAGCATAATAAAGCACAATTAAGAAACTACCATATTCAGGATAACTGAACGTTACACATAGATTAAAAAAACATTTTCCATTTGCTTACAAAATAACTTTTTTTAAAAAAAAAATTGCGCGTAAAATATATTTATTATTATTAATGCTTTCTTTAATGATATATATTATTCATTTAAGGCTCGAAAATAAATGTTGCACATTTATATTCTTTTTATATGTAAATAATATCATATATATTAATTCTTATCACTAGTTTAATTGTATCTTTGTTTATGACTCAGGCCATAATAAATATTTACCTTTAAATTTTCCTTTTGAACTTTTTCTCCAGTGTTTAATACTCTTTGAAATCAATGTTCGGATTCAAAAAAAATTCTAATGTCATTTATTACCCAATTTAAATTCATTTGAAATTATATTATTTTTTATATAGATATTAAATGATATTTATGAAGTTATCATTTTCAAATTGCTTATTATATTTAATTTACAATTAAAAAAGAGAAATAAATTGAATGAGTTGCTATTGACACATATTCCAAGCCTTTTTTTAATGATTGAATGGTAAGTGTATCATGTGACTAGCGTTTCATCAGCCTGTGCATTTATAGGAATTAATACATTTCCTTATGTGCTACTCTAAGGTTTGAACATGAGTTGTCGATAAAAAATATTCCTCCAATTTTTTATTTTTTATTTTTGATGGAAAAAAATATTCCTCCGTATCCAATAAATTAACCTCTTGAATTTACATAGGCGTACACATAATATAAACCTTACCCAAAAGTTATTATTTGATGAGCTAATAGTGGAAAAAATGTGAGGAAAAAAATCAAATTGGTTGCCCAAACTTCAATAGTTGTATTCAAGCTTCAAACATAGCATTTCTTTTTAGCGAGTTGAAAGAAAAGTCATCATTAAACAAACTCCACTAATAGAAGTGGAGACATTCCTATCCTTAGCTTTGAGTGTTTAAATTTGATGCACTATATATAATTAATACAATTTTAAATCCAATTATCTAATGATGTCTTGTTGCATCATTAAAAAAAATTAAACTTCCTAAATAATAGTTATGATGCTTAAACTTTTTCTAAACAACTTAGAACTACAGGATTAAGTGATAGTCTAAAAAATTCTTATACAAAATAGAGTATCAAATTATATCCTTAATTTAAACCTATGTAGACCATAAAAGGCAGCTAAAATATTTTATCGAATTTCAAAGACCATATCTGAGAAAGAACATTCTAAAGAAATATTATTTCGGGTAAACTGTAAAGTTATTCTTTTTTTAGTAGAAGATATTCTTTTATTTTGAGTGAGTTGCACGTGCAATGGTAATAATAATAATAATAATAATATATTAAACATGTTGCATATAGCAATGAGATTTTTTTTTATACAAGTCGAGATTGAACACATGACCTAATACAATTTATCCAAATCTCTTACCACTAGACCAAACCTAGGCTTAACATTTCATCCAATGTTGTGCCTAATGTAAATGATGCTCTAGCCACACGTGAATGTGCGATAAGCTCAAGGCCATTTTTATACTTTATTAATGTCATTATGTTTTTACTTGAAAGTCATTACATCTTTGCATTGTTCATTCCCTCAATTTCTTTTCCCTATGGGTCAAGTTTGAAAAATAAATTTTCAAAAAGTGTATCATGTGTGATTAGAGCATTAGTTGAAAGTAACAAAGCCGTCATATTAAGAATCTAATAGTTTGCACAATTTAAGCATTTAATAGTTATTTTCTTTGTTGAAAGAATGCACATGTAACTCATCAAAAGTTGACTGAAAGTAAATTAATAAAAATAATTTTTTTTGTAAAACGTATGCATATAGGATCCGTCGGGTGTCTTATCGTAAACCGTTCTAAAAAAAAACTATGTATTACATATAATACATAATTATTATTTTTATATCCTTTATAACTATGTACTACGGATAGTACATAGTTATATTATTAAAGTTATTTTTCATATCTTTTATAACTATGTACTATTCGTAGTATATAAATTTTTTTTATGAGTAAAGCCTATTTTGGGTCCCTAACAAAAAATCACGGTCCTCACTTTAGTTCCTTACAAAAAAAATTAGTTGTCTGGTTCCTATAAAATTCAAAGTGGACCCATTTTAGTCCTTTTGAGGGACTAATGTGGATCTTTTTTGAATTTGTTAGAGACCACGATTTCAACTAAATGGATCCACTTTAAATTTCTTAGAGATATCAGAACTATTTTTTTTTATAAAAGAATAAAGTGTGGACCGTATTTTTTATTAGGGACTTTACTCTCTTTTTTTGTTGCAGGACGTCCTGCAACATAATTCTTATATTTCGGATATAACTTCCATAGTAAAAAGCTCAAGTTCCGCTTTTGTTTTTTTGTTGTTGTTGGTTTTTTTTTTTTTTTTGGAAAATCTACATATGAGAATTGATCCGTTTACTATTGATTTTCGATGTTAGGTAAAATTAATTCTTAGATCCCAAATTTTCCAATAGTTTGCTTATATTGACATGTATTAAATTTGTTGAAATGAGATATGTTAATCTTTATTTGCATTCAGCATTGTAACATCATTATATTTTGTATTAATTAGATGACAAGTAATTATATTACTTAGGTTATGATCAGTAGATGTATTAGAATGGGACAAACATAAAATGAGTTTTATTTTGTGTTAAGGGGTGGGTTATGCTTAGGGGTGTTAACGGGTCGAGCCGAGCCGAGCTTTGATCTTAACGAGCTAAGCTTGTATTTAAATGTGTCAGACTGGCCTTAGCCTGTTACCTGTTACGAATATAATATTGGCATGTGGCCTGGTTCATTTACAAAAAATAAAAGCTTGTCTTGTCCTGTTAGTCTGTTAAAAAAAAAAACAACAGAATTCCACAAAAATTCATAAATTCAATGTATATTCAAATAGAATATACAATCAACAACACTAATAATTCCACGAAGATTCATAAATTCAATGTATATCCAAAAAACATAATATAGAATAGAATCATTCAAAAAGTCTACTTAAGTAATAAACTAAAGTAGTACCAAATTCTGCAAATCCAAAAGAACAAAAAACTACAAATTCTGCTTAAATAATTTAATATACTCATATCAACAATTTAATATATTGCGATGTTGCCTCTTCTTACATAAAAAAACAAAGAACAAGTCAGATTATTTTTGACATTCAATTATAATATCGTAAGATATAAAACAATTTAAATTAAGAAAATTAATACCTTCTGCTTTTTCTTTATGCCATACTTATTGCGTAACCAATCTGCACTACAAATTAATGCTTGAACTGTATTTTCTGTCAAACTTGCCCGATAAGCATCAATGACTCTTCCTCCAGCACTAAATGTCGATTCAGATACGAATGTAGAGACTGGTATTGCTAATATATCTTTTGCCACATTTGATAAAATCTTATACTTCATGCTATTGTTCTTCCACCATTCTAATGCATCAAATGAAAGATGAGAATTATCCTTACTTATATAAACATTCTCTTCAAGATAACACTTCAGCTCTGACTTAACTGAATGAGTAGATTCCCTTGCACGTATCACGCTCATGAGTTGAGCAAACCCAGATTCAGAATCTTTTGAGGGAGTAGAAGAGGAAGATCCTTCCACCCTAATTCTGACATCTATATTAGAGGAAGATTCTTGCAAATAATCATTGTAAATGTCTTCTAAAGCTTGACACACCTTTTCTATGTTTACTTTGGCATCAAAATCTGATTTGTAAATAAGTGGGAAACAAAGGCTTACCATTTCTAATTTACACCTTGGGTCCAAAATACTAGCAATGGCCATCAACAAATTGCATTCCCCCCAATATTTATCAAATTTCTCTTTCATAAATCTTGTCATTCCTCTCATAAAATCAGAACTATCTTCAGCTGCTTTATCAATCACTATTTTGACCATATAAACTTCCGGAAGATATAAGTTTGCTGTAGGATAATCACTACCTGATATGATGTTAGTAGCATTAGAGAAAACTTTTAATAAATGGCATACCTTATCAACCTTTTCCCACTCTTCAATAGACGACAAACAATTGTAGTGTGGGTCTCTTTCCTTGTATTCTAGAAAAACATCTTTAAATCTTGAAGCAATGTTCAACATTTCATAGCTAGAATTCCATCTAGTGGGATAATCAATCACTAGCTTTCTTTCTTTTATACCCATTTGCTTAACAATGTCAGAGAAAGTCTTTAATCTCGAGTCAGAATGATTAACATATTTGACACTTTCTCTAACATTATCAATGATGTCTTTAATCTGAGTAAGACCATGTTGCACTAACAAATTCAATAAATGTGCACAACAACACACATGAAATAATTCCCCACCAAGAACTAATTTAGTATTTCTCGACAAAGTGCTTTTCATAGTTCTTATGCATACGTCATTGTAGGCAGCATTGTCCACAGACACAGAAAAAACCTTATTTTCGATTCCCCATAATTGTAGACATTTAAGAATTGCATCTGCAACATCGACTCCACGCCTTGGAGGTGGCACTTTCACAAAACTCAAAACTCTTTTTTGTAATTTCCATTCTGAATCAATGAAATGGCATGTAATCACCATATATTCAGCTATTTGGTGGTTAGACTTCCACATATCAGTGGTGATGCTAATCTTGTTCACCCTCATCAATTCTTCCTTTAGTGATTTTTTTTAGCCTCATATAATCCAATGCAATCATTTTTTATTGTATGACGTGACACTTTCTCAAAATTAGGATTTGCACACTGAAACACCCACCTCCAGGCAGTATCCTCGACAAAGCTAAAAGGATTCTCATGAACCATAATAGCAGTAACAATAGCTTCTCTCATTTTTTTCATTGGAACACTTTCCTGTAGGTGAAAGGGAAGGGTTCACTCCAGAACCTGAAGGCTGAAATGAAAGAGTGGTTTGAGTGCTTTCCTTCTTTTCAGATTGGGCCAATTTTTTTTTCAAGCAACTTGTTAAATGCCTCTTTAGATGGCTTGTGCTTGCTCCTGGTCCACCACGTGCAAATTTGGCTTTACAATGGTTGCATATTGCCTTAAGCCCAACATTGGGGATGTCCACTTCATGAAAATCATCCCACACCTTTGATGTTTTCTGCCTTTTATTTGTAGGGCTTGCATCTGCATCTTGTGTTGGTGGTTCTTGTCTTTGAACATCAAAATTATTCACTACATGTGAATTAGAGGCCATTTACCTAGCAATGAAAATATCAAATTTCTCTTTAGGTCTAAACAAATATTACAGTATACTCATCGTGATGTTAAGTTAACACAAACAATGCAAGTCAAATCTCAATGATAACATTTTAAATGGATCCTCTAATAACATTGAAGTTAACATCGACTTGAAAAAGGGTATTCTAATATATTATAGAATTGTAAATAATCTGTACAAAGGGTTCTCTATTTATAGAGAATATTTGACCTACTTTTAACCTAATGGGCTTGGCCCAATACAACAAAGAGCTTGGCCCAATACAACAATAAATGACTAAATAAAAACTAAATAATAACTAAATCAATATTATTTACAACACTCCCCCTCAAGCTGAGGAATAAATATTTATCATTCCCAGCTTGCTAGTAAGTTCTTGAAATCTGTCTGAAGGAAGCCCCTTTGTTAATAGATCAGCCAATTGACGCCCAGTGGGAATGTATGGAGTGGTAATCAACCCGCTATCAAGTTTCTCTTTGATGAAATGGCGGTCAACCTCAATATGTTTAGTCCGATCATGTTGAACTGGATTATGAGCTATACAAATAGCGGACTTATTATCACACAGCAGCTTCATAGGTCCCTCACATTTTATTTTGAGATCATCAAGAACAATTTTCAGCCATAGTAACTCACAAATGCCTTGAGCCATAGCTCGAAATTCAGCTTCTGCACTTGATCTGGCAACCACATCTTGTTTCTTACTTCTCCATGTCACCAAGTTACCGCAAAGAAACATGCAATAACCAGTGGTAGAACGACGGTCAGTCACGGATCCAGCATAATCAGCATATGTGTAGACTTCTAAAGATAGATTGCCATCACGTCGGAATAACAATCCTTTACCAGGAGTACCTTTAAGATACTGAAGAATTCTCTCTACTGCCTGCATGTGTTTTTCTTTTGGATCGTGCATAAACTGACTGACAACACTAACAGCATAAGCTAGGTCTGGTCTAGTATGGGCCAGATATATCAATTTCCCAACTAGCCGTTGATATTGTCCTTTATCAACTGGAGGACTCTCTTCTTCATAGCCCATCTTGTGATTCTGCTCAATAGGAGTATTAGAGGGTTTACACCCGAGCTTTCCTGCTTCTTTGAGAAGATCAAGAACATATTTCCTCTGGCTGATAAAAATTCCTTTGCTTGAATGAGCTACTTCTATCCCTAGGAAATATCTCAGTTTCCCAAGGTCTTTGATTTCAAACTCAGAGGCAAGCCGTGTTTGCAGAATCTGTCTCTCCACAAAATCATCACCTGTGATAATAATATCATCAACATATACAAGGAGCACAGTAAGCTTCCCATTTTGGGAGTGCTTGAAGAAAAGAGTGTGATCTCCTTGGCTCTGTCTGTATCCTAAGGTCATCATAACCTTAGTAAATCTTCCAAACCAAGCACGAGGTGACTGCTTCAATCCATACAAGGCCTTTTTTAATCTACAAACTTTATTTTCCCCCTTCACAGAATCAAAACCAGGCGGGATTTCCATGTAGACTTCTTCTTCTAACTCACCATTGAGGAAAGCATTTTTCACATCAAATTGATTTATATCCCAATTGTAATGGGCAGCAAGGGATAACAAGATTCTCACTGTATTCATCTTTGCAACTGGAGCAAAGGTTTCTTCATAATCAATGCCATAGGTTTGAGTGTAACCTTTGGCCACTAATCGAGCCTTATATCTCTCAAGAGTGCCATCAGAATTATATTTCAGGGTATAAACCCATCTGCACCCTACTGCTTTCTTTCCGTTGGGTCTATCAATAACCTCCCATGTTTTATTTTTCTCCAAAGCATTCATCTCCTCTTGCATGGCTTGAGCCCAATTCCTATCTTTCAAGGCTTCATGTACTGATTTTGGGATTGCAATAGAATCTAGTGCTAAAACAAAGCTTTTGTGCTGCACAGAAAGATTAGCAGAGGAAACAAAGTGGGAGATAGGGTATTGAGTACAAGAGGGACAGGAGGAACAAGTTTTCTTGTGACAAGATCTTTTTCCTTTTCTAAGAGCAATAGGTAAGTCATCAGAAGTAGAAGCAATGGGTAAGTCATTAGAGATATCAGAAGAAATAGACAAATCATGAGAGGAAATAATATTAGAATCAGAAACAGGAGATTCAGAAGAAATAGGAGATTCAGGACTTACCAGTGGTTCAGACGATTGAGGTTGCTGGTGAGACAGTATGGGTTGTATCTCAGGTGTATTTGAAGGTTCTGACACACCAGGAGCAGACACACTAGGAAGAGAGAAGATTGATCCAGACTCAAAGAAGGAAGGGGACGAGTCTTCTGAAGAACTATTCTCCCCCTGACGATGAGGACCCAGGAAATAAGATTCAGATTCTTGAAAGGTGACATCCATAGAAACAAAAAATTTCTGACTTGGTGGATGATAACACTTGTACCCTTTTTTATAAGGGTTATAACCAAGGAAGATACACTTAAGAGCCCTAGGATCCAACTTACTCCGATGTTGTTTATGAACATGGACAAAGGCAACACATCCAAACACTCTTGGTGGAAGGCTCTGCAATATGGGAACAGAAGGAAAGAAGGAAGTCATGGAATGAATAGGACTGATATTGTTAAGGACCCGTGAAGGTAAACGGTTGATCAAAAAAGTTGCAGCTAATACTGCTTCTCCCCAATAAGAACTAGGAACAGATGTCTGAAAAAGTAGTGCTCTAGCAACTTCAAGAAGGTGACGATTTTTCCTTTCAGCAACCCCGTTTTGTTGAGGGGTATCAACACATGTGAGCTCATGAATCATACCTCTGTCTGAAATGAATTGTGACAGGCGTTGATTGACGTACTCAGTACCATTATCAGATCTGAGTTAATACCCTTACCAAACTGAGTCTCAACCATGTGATGAAACCGAATAAATATCTCTGGTACTTCAGACTTGTCTTTCATCAAGTATATCCATGTTATCCGAGTACAATCGTCAATAAAAGAAACAAACCACCTAGCACCTGAAATACTGTGCACTTTAGAAGGGCCCCAAACATCAGAATGGATAAGAGAAAAAGGTTCTCTGCTTTTAATAGTGCTAGAAGGAAATGACACTCGATGGTGTTTTGCAAATTCACAAACATCACAATGAAAGGTCTCAACCGACTTATTGAGAAACAGAGAGGGGAACATAGACTTCAAAAGACTAAATGGTGGATGCCCGAGACGCTTGTGATGGAGCCAAATCATAGACTCTGCAGTAGAAGGATGACGTGTCATTAATAACTGATTTTTGCTAGCATGGTCTGGAAGGAGATGATACAACCCATCCTGTTCATTAGCAACTCCAATTGTCTTCTTCGTGGTAAGATCCTGAATAAGACAATGAGAAGGAAAAAATGTGATAGAACAATTCAAATCAGTTGTAAGTTTTTGAGTGGAGATAAGATTAGTAGAAAGCTGAGGAACATAAAGAACATTTTTAAGAAACAAGGAAGGTTGAATTTGAATGTTACCAGAACCAATAACTGATTTATGGGATCCATCAGCTACGGATATAGTATGACTACCAACAGTAGGATGATAAGAACAAAATAACTCAGTACGACAAGCCATATGATCAGTTGCACCAGAATCCAAAATCCATGAGGTTTTAAAATCAGTGCAAGAAGCAAGAAGAGATATAGAACGTGTGCTCTTACCAGATAAGATCGAAGAACTATCATGCTCAGCCATTCTTTAACAAAAAAAGTTAACAACCAGCGATAAAATCAACCAAACAGAATATCAAATGACCTCTGATCAGAAAAATAATTACAGATCCAGACAGAAGACAAGAAGACGAGAAGAATGGTGGTGGTCCGGTCCAAAAACACGGCCGCACGCGCCTCCACGCGCCGGAGAAAGGAGCTGCGCGTGGGATTCACTCGCCGGGAAAGGGGCGGCGCGTGAGAGCGCGTGGATGGGCTTCGCCGGCTGAGATTTTTCTGGTGTGGTCGTCTGGTGAGCGCACACCTGTCTGTGGGTGGTCGCGGTTGAAAAGTCGCCGGAAAGTGGTCCAAACGGTGAAGACAGATCTGATTGGAGGCGATCGGAGGTGTTTCGGTCGTTTGTGGCGGAGGAACACTGCGTAGAATGATAGATCGGAGGAAAAATAAGGTCAACAATGGTCCCCTTGGTCCAAAAGGTCCCCGGAAAAATTTTCCGGTGGCGGCTAATGACGGCAAGAGGCAAAGAAATTAGGGTTTTGTTAAAAAAGAAGATAATATGTGCGGAAGCAAAGCCCTCAGATCGAGAGCTTTGATACCAACTTGAAAAAGGGTATTCTAATATATTATAGAATTGTAAATAATCTGTACAAAGGGTTCTCTATTTATAGAGAATATTTGACCTACTTTTAACCTAATGGGCTTGGCCCAATACAACAAAGAGTTTGGCCCAATACAACAATAAATGACTAAATA